CTTCGGGAATTGGCAGATGTTCTTGAGGTGAAAAGGAAGAAGAAGAGACCAACCCGTAAGCACAAACCATCCTTCATCCGGTTTGTTAAAGCATGGGAGAAGAAGACGAAAGCAACATCAGGCAACACTGGCATTTTGGAAGGGGCAGAGACATGACAGATGATAGTCGACCTGGGGAATAAATTGGTGTTTCCGGACGTCGTACAGACAACGCTACGTCCGGATGTGGTGATATGGTCCGCCGAATCCAGGCAGGTTATAGTCATCGAGCTGACTGTGCCCTGGGAGGAGCGGTGCGACCAGGGCAATGAGAGAAAGAGAGCAAAGTATACGGAGCTCAGGGAACAATGTAGGGAGCGAGGGTGGCGTGCTTGACTGTTTCCTGTGGAGGTCGGATGCGTTCCCGGCACGTTCAGCCTGGAAGACATTGCAGGCTGTGGGAGTAGTCGGAAATACACGCAAGACGGCGGTGTGCAGACTAGCAGAGGCTGCCGAGCGCGCATTATGCTCGTTGTGGAACAGACGGGAGGAGAAAGACTGGAAGCCATCCATTGACGGGCAGTGAATTGATCGCCACTGTCGACCCACCATCACGAGGACGTTCCGGGACAAGGGTTGAAACGTCTAGAGACTGATGGACCCGGCTGATGATGTCAATGGATTCGCAGTATTTCACCAACTGCATAGGTACATGTTTTGGTAAATTACAACATGGAATAAAAAAGTTTATTCAAATGTTGGTCTTCGGATGGGAAAGTGTTGAAAGTAATTTTTTTTAGTCTGGAAAACCCAATCACTTACATAGATATAATGAGTATGGCTATATTTGCAGTATCATATTAACAATACCTAATATCTCAGCAGTTCACAAATTCATATTAAATTGGTTTTATATATATTCCATGCATTTTCGATGCTATAAATTATTTAGTCATTAACATTTTTCCGTTTTCATCAATGCCGACTAGGTAAGTTTTCCACCATAGCTCTTTGGAATGGAAAATTTCGATGCCGCAAGCAGATAAGGTGTCGTAATGAAATCAAAACCTACTACGATATTTACCGTACACGTTAGAAAGATGCAATTATTTTTTCTGCGCAAACTTCTGTTTGTAAATAGGGGTTATGCTTAATCTTGCCGACAGATTCGTTTTCGTCTAAAACGCTAGGGGAAAAGTTTCTTTTTTCAAAATGGTTGCCAGTCCAAACGCATTTTCATGGTTTCTAAGCTTATACTGGTAGTTGGAATGAGAGAAAAATACCCCTACCTGCTAAGGGGTGTAGGATAGGGAAATTCCACCCTCGTTTTTTTCAAATTTGGCGAAACCCTCGGATTTTACCAAATTTGAAAACCCCTCGGGTGGAATTTCCCTATCCTACACCCCTTAGCATGAAAGAGTCTTATATTCTCTGATTTCCCTGTGTGCAAGATAGAGCTGTCCAGGGTAAGAAGGGGGTGTAGGAAATTTCTTTCTCCTACCTAGGGGAATGTCAACCCGAGGGGGAAGATTCTTGTGTTGCCATAGGGTTCTCCTATTCATAACAATGGTATGACGTCACTTCAACAATACAATGATGTCACGTCAACAATCCATCAACGTAACGTCAACCCTGAATTGAGCTTGTAACGTTAGCATTACATTGTGTACACAATGGGAGAACAAGGTAAGAGAAAAAGAATCATCAGGGAAAGATTCTTAAAATGCCAAACACTCGTGTTGCCACGAGTGTTTGGCAACTTAGGATTCTTCCCCTCGGGTTGAAATTCCCCTATCTCACCCCTAAGGGAGATATTCTATTAATCTTACACCCCATTTCACGTGACGTGACGTCATAATGGCTCAACAATGACATGACGTAACGAATTTGCAACTCTCCGATGCTGCAATGCGGAAAAGGCGAAGTGATGAAATTAAAACCTTTTATTATATATTTACCGTACATGTTAGAATGATGTGATGATTTTTCTGGGCAAATGCTGTTTGCAAATATGGGGTATGCTTTATCTGGCTGGCTAATTTGCCTAAAAAGCTCAGGGGGGGAATTGATATTTTCAAAATGGTGTCCAGTCCAAATGTATTTTCATAGTTTTTGAGCTTATTCTGGTGATTGGAATGAGAGAAAAATACTCTTTCATGCCCTAGAGTGTAGGATAGGAAAATTACACCCTCGGGATTTTCTAATTTGGCAAAAGTCTCAGGTTTTACCAAATTGAAAATCCCTCGGGCGGAATTTCGCTATCCTACATGTACACCCCTGAGCATGAAAAAGTCTTATAGTATTTGCACCTTGATGATTATCAAAGAGCTACGTTGTGATCAAATCCGAGCTGTGCTACCGTGAGGCCGCAATGCGCTTCACCTTTATCTTTAATAACAGCATAACTCCGAGATCACACGTATGAAGGGTTTCTTAGCAATTTACAGATTAATCCGCAAGATGGCACGTCTAGAGACTTTGATTTTGATATGAAACAAAGTCAAAGGGTACAGTGTAGCTATGTAGTCTTTGGACTTCGGAGATTGGTGCAATGTGGATATGCAGATGGAAGATTGCCGTTGAGCGACAATGGTGAAAAATAACATAATGCCAAAACTGTTTTGGTCATTATGTAGTGATCGTTTTACATTATGTACCTTCGCACTTAAGAATAATTAATGATTACTACATAATGTCAAAACGCTGTTTGCCATTATGTCAAGTTTTTTGTACTTAAGTGCAAAAAAAACGTTATCATCCTGCAGCTTCATTTAGGAACAGTCGAAAAAGACTGTGGTTGGGGAATGTCATGTTGGAAGTCTCTTCCTGTTTATTGCACTTAGTTTTTTCACTTTAGTATTGATATTTTATCCTAAAACGGCCGCTCATAGATCGAGATATACTAGTAAACGGCACAAGGACATGAGAATATGGTACAGCTATATTTGGACATAAACCAAGGTGTTTAGAACAATTTTACATGGTTGGGGGGTTTAGATCGTAACTAACGCGTTATAACAAGATAACTAATGCGTAATAACGAGATAATAACGCGTATTAACGAGATAAAGAACGCGTCATAACGAGATAAAAAAAATCGCTTTTTAAAATGACACCAATAGGCTTTCGTAACATTTGGTAAAACCGCCACCCCCAATGATGATAATAAACGAGTTATTTAGGTCCAAATATAGCTGTAACAAATGTTCAGGTCCCTGTGGTAAACAGTTGCCACATGGTGTATCGGAACCACCTTTTTATCGCACATGGTTTCTATCTGAATAAAAGCACGACTTTAGTTTTTCCTGTTGTGGCGTTCCATATACATTCCGGACGTATTTCGAAATCAATAATGAGTCTCCATGTTGTTCTGGTGATGACGCTTCGTCATGTCATTTCTACTGTTAGATAAAGGAACAAGAGGCCCAATGGGCCTGAATCGCTAACCTGGTATTAATCTCACACTTGTAATCTTAAAAGTGGACTAATATACAGCTACAGGCAAAACATCTGTGTTCGATTCATTTGAATCTATTAAATGATTTAAACATATGACGCCTGACCTTGAAAGTCGAACAATGACATTAAGTTGAACAGAGTTTATAGCCTTTTTGCCCCAGCATGCTTCGAGCTAAATATGCTTTACCCTGGAACTTTTGAATATTCAGAACAAGTCGTTTAAAGATATAAACATAGTTGATCCTTGTGACCTTGAATATGAGCGAAGGTCATTCATTTGAACAAACTTGGTAACCCTTCATCTCAGCACCTAACTGACAAAATATCATAACCCTATTTCACTGGCCAAATATCTTCATTCAAGGTATTTTGGTTATGGAGAAGTTGTTTAAAGGTTTTTAACATGTTTGACCCCTGTAACCTTGAAAATAGATGAAAGTCATTCATTTGAACAAACTTGGTAGCCCTTCATCCCAGCACGTTACTGGCAAAATGTCATTATATATGCCTCTTGGGTATTCAGAAGAAGTTGTTTAAAGATGATAAACATATTTGACCCCTGTGACATTGAAAATGGGTTTAGGTCATTTATTTGAACAAACTTGGTAGCCCTTCATCCCAGCATGCTACAGGCCCAATATCAGTACCCTGGGCCTTTCGGTTGTTGAGAAGAAGTAGTTTTAATGAAAAAGTTGATGATGGACGCCTCAACACGCCATAAAACTATGTTGATTTGTTTTCATAGTTTCTCCGTTATAGTGTCATATGTATGCGTTTTTAATATTTTAAACCATTTAACATTTTCAGGGCATGCAAAAAAAAAAAAATGATGCATAATGACCGCAGCAGTAGTTTCGTATATATTTATCTTATTTTGCTCTTTCCTTTCTCCCGAAGATTTGTGTCGAGTATTTAAATGTTTATCTAGATATTTTGTGCAAGATTAAACTATTATTCTGTGTCCTATTGAAGTCTAGTCAACCTTTTTTTTTTTTTTTATTATTTATTTAAAATAAACTCAGATATGGTTGCTGACTCTTCTTTTGAAAGCCATCCAAAGAATCAATGACAAAGGAAAGGTTAAGGTTTAGGAAAAGATGAAACCTTCAGGATATCCAAAGTTGTTCATGGGAGCTGGTTACATATTACGAAATAAGCCCAGGTGACGTGTTTATAAATGTAATCGTTGGTTATTTGTATGCATAATCAAAGTATGCTATGTGTAGCTTGAGAGAACTCATGACCTTGTATCTTGACCTCAGGACCTTGAAATGTGACATCACCAATATTAATAGAGCATCAACAAATTATGCATCATCATACGGAAATCTGTGAGGGCCAAATTCAGTTCTGGTTTCATCAGACAATGAAATGGGATACGGTTGAAAAAAATATCCACAATTATTGACAGTTGTTAATCATATTTGTTAATATCTAACTCATCATTTAATTTTGAAATTCAAAACGGCACTTGGCTGTACTGAAATTTGAAAATTTAATGACTCCAGTTAGATAAATATGAAAAATAACCTCACTTGATAAGATAAAATAACGATACAATATTTTTGATCTTAATATGTTTTATTTTATGACACATTTCATAAACAGTCACTTTTGTTTAAACAGTTTAAATGTCTTCAATGCATGCTTCCTTATATGCCAAGTGCCTTTAGAGAGCATACCCTAAATATAGAATCATCATTTGTTTACAACAATGTGTCAAGGCAGCACAAGGATATTTAATATGAAATATACTTAAAACCTATTGTATCATTCTTGTGAAGTTTTTTAAATCTCAATTGAAAGCTTTTTAACTTGTACTGGCAGCTTTAAGGTGAGATGGTGAGATTACCCAAAACGTATCACCAAACCATCAAATTCTTTATTCTTTGAAAAGTGAGAGCGTTGATTTCATTCATTTATGGTTACATCAATGTAAGAATTCTTCCCACTTTATAATGATCTTTGGAATATATATGAATTCAAATATTTCTATAGTCCGAGTATGTTCCTAATGTCTGAACAAACATACACAAATAAGTTTTGAGTTTGAAATTCTTGATCTGATGCTATTTGTGCATATACACGTAGATTAATCAGCTTAAGACAAAAGATATCAGTATGACAATGCATTCTAGTGCTACATCCTTGTAAAACACAAACCACTGCCACCTACCAAGATTTAAAATGTATTTTTGTGAAGAGTGATCTGTTTTGGGAACTGATCCAACTTGGGTACTGTTTCTACTGTAATTTCTACCTGGTAATTATGTTTAACAAACACTTTCTTAGGCTAAGTAATAGAAAATTGTTTTAGTAGCTCTACATGTACGACATATCTTATCTGAAGCTTAGCGAGCGGGAGTCTGTGAACCTAATATTATCTAAATAGCACAATGTACATGCAAGTTATACCTTTATTGCTTGGCAAAGGAATCAACATGTAAATTTATGCTGCATGAAACAATCTCATTAATAAAATAAACATACTTCTATCATTAAACCAATCCTCAGCACAGAAGGGAAACAACTCTTCTTTCACAAATACATTAATGGAGGTCCAAAATGTCAATCAATTCAAAGGTCGTGTTACTTCAAAGTTTCATCTTGAACTTGATTATCATTTGTTATAATTCATTATTTCATGTAACACAAATAAATGTTTGGAACCCTGTAAATTGGGAGTCCTCTATCGGACATAAGATATTTATGAAAATTGTGTAAAATATTCAAATGCATTCAAGTTACAAAGGACATATTTCCAAAAACAAACAATTATTGAATTTTACATGCAGATCTCCATTGTCAAGCACTTTTTATCATAAACACTAGAATGAAAATAAAAATTAGTGTTTTCAAGACTGATTACAAGGTAGCACTTATACCGACAATATTTTTGTAAAGACCAACCATAGCAAAAATATCATACTTGTAGAACACAATGGTAAGAAGAACATGTAAATGATATTGTAATGTTGATATTAATACAAAATTGTTGATTTTGAAGTGAGTTGGTCCTGATTTATATTGTAGGTTATATGTAATGAATGCCTACACAATGCCTATCAGGACTGATCACCACATCAGGTAAGCAGGTTGAAGGGTACACCACTACGCTGTCCTTAGGATAATGTGTTCCCCTGAATCTGTTGATACAATCTCACTCAGTTCTCCAACCTGCATGGCAAAAGTAGCATCTTCAAATGGCTTCTGCATCTGACCACGTCCAAATGGTCCCAGGTCACCTGCTCGTTTTGCGGAGCTGCAGTCACTGTACTTTGCTGCTAATTCTGCAAAGCTGGCTTCTTTCGACGTTATCTTATTCCTGAAGCCTATGTTATGAAAATGGTAAACATATCTTCAATCTCTTTGTTTCTAACAAAATATGGAATATATCTTGATTTTTGCTACATTTTTCTGACTATTAATTTGTCTTCCAGTAAGTAGGAAAGTGAAAGGATTTAAATTTATATCTTTCAAAATGATCGCATAATTATAATTTCAAACATAATAAAGAAGGCCTAATATGCTATAATATTTATTTTTTTAGTAAACATTTACCTTTGTTGACAACATTTCATTGTCTTGACTACTAGTATATCACAACAAATTCTCAATTATCCAATATGCTTCAATATAAATAAAACTCTACAGTAAAGTATCACTTTACCTTGGAGAATCACTCGAGCCTCATCCTTGGAGCGTGTGATATTTTCTTCCCGCCAGGATGAAGGTCGTCGCGAGCCACTGTGTTTCACTAGTAGGTGAGAACACTGAACAGTGTCACCTTCTCTCTGAGCAGGTTCTGTAGGAAGTTCCCACCGACTCTCCTTTGTGTACTGGTTCAGGAAGTACTCTTGGCCTAAACATTTAACACCACCAGTATTATAAGACAAAGAAACACTAACCACAACGATTATTCCTCTATACAAAAATATCATTTGGTAGAAGAAAATGATGAAGCCTTGAAGGATATATATAACTACTCTATTGTTTGTTGTATTACACATTACATGGGCACAATTCTTGATTACGTATATATATCCATCAATTGGTATTGAAGGTTTTTTCATTGTGACTATAATCCAACAAAGAAATTACATATTGCCCCATTTGATACACACTTGTATCATTTGTACTGTCCTATATATATATATATAAATGGCCTTTGTCCTTGTGTCATTGGTTGCTACACCCTAAAAAGCAACCATAATTTTATACTCATATCAACAGAAAACTATTGAAATTGTAGAGGACTGAGATAAACATGCATTCAATGTTATCCATATATGGAATTGAAAAACAACCAACTGAAAACAGTTATTTTTGAAACACACGAACAAACATTTGTTAACAAATTTCACTTGCTTGAAGCAGTCGCCATATCTTTCGGCAAGGGGTATTTGATTCAATATAAAAGTAAGACAACCCAAACAGACTAAAAGAAATTCTCCATAGTGGCCTGCACGTACAAATACTTCTCTGGTTATTAGGGCTGTTACATGTACCTGAGCACCCGGATATAGGTCGGTTAAGACATTATAGGAAACTGGGTTTGAAAATGTGTACCCAGGTTACCGTCAAAATAGGTATTGGTTCACATACATGTATGTGAGGGTTAATTACAAGTTTTATGGTTACAACACAATCAGATTATGTAACATCCTCGATATCCCGGGGTTACGCTCACTTTCTCTCTCTACACGCCTGGAATATGTCATAGCAAAATTGAAGGCTCAGTGTGCGCCACCTTGTTGATGAGACGAGAAGACTAGTTCGATCCTTTGATATAAAAGTGTACATCAAAAGAATCTCGCGGTCACGTAACGGTAAAAATAGACAGGCTTCGGGCGTCTCTCCTTTCTAATCTTCAAAAGACAGGTATCAGCCTAGTGATTGGTCAAGTTTTTTTTTTTACCTGAGACCAATCAAACAGATATCTTCATGCCTTCAATTTTGCTATGACATATTCCAGGGGAGTAGAGAGCGAATGTGAGGATGATTATACAAAGAAAAGAATACAATATTATCATCAATGAAACAAATTGTTGATTTTATTATCTTGCCTCTAATATGTACTGGCCGTCTCTGGAAGATTTTGCATAGGGTCAAATATATTGGGTACCCAGCAGGTACAGTTCAATTTTCAAATTCCATGGTTACGGGACCGAAATACTGTACCTGTGACAGCCCTGCTGGTTATTTCAATTATGTTTTTTTTTAACCAAATTAATTATCAAAGCAAGTTTTTCAAATTTGAAGAAAATAATATGAATTTAATGGTACTGGATCAGTTAGTCTAACATGATCGTTGTGTACATGGGAGACGATCTTATGAGAGCTACAGTCAGTAAAAGAATTTGCAGTTTTGTTATTTAAAAAGTGATTGAAATGAGACTTTAACAAAAGATTTTCCATTGTATTATTTGATCATTCTAATACATAGTTCATACACTATTGTAATTTTGTTCACACATTTTAGGTTTATTTCATTGTAACCGATTATTAATCGATCATTGGTTGGTTATGATGAACCGATGATTGATCAGGAAATTCCTACTGATTCCCACCCCTACCTAAAATGTGTTAAATTCACTCTGAACACGTTAATTTAAGCCCAAATATTATCCATGTGTTATCGGTTTCCGCGCACTTAAGAAGCACCTGCGCTTTCGTACTCATATGGGTAGAAAACTATTACGGATGACTATAATAGACATGTACATTATCTACTAATGGAAACAAAAAACTAGCAACAGAAAATCAGATTCAACATTTCTTAACAAATTTCTCCCGTCGGAAGTAGCTGCTGCATGTTTCCCAGTGTCTATTTTTATTTAGTGCTAAAAGAAAGATAACTCGTATAAACTAAAAATAAATTCTCCAGAGTGGCCTGCACGAACGAAGCATTTGGTATAAAAAAAAACTATATCTTTGATCTTGAAATTAATTATCAAAACAGATTTTTAAAAATGTTCACATGTACATATTTCATTGATTTTTCAATATGTCAACTTGAACGAATTCATGTAATTTTATAAATTTATTTATTACATTTTTGCCAGTGAAATATTGGATTCTATCAACTTGATAAAAGTGATATCTTTCACACTGTGAAAAATATCAAAAGTGATATTTTCACCGTGTGAAAAAATCCCTTTTTGGTATTGACCAATCACAACGGTATCTTCTATTCGCTGCATTCAAAGGCTACAATATTTTTGTTCAGATTCAAATGAAGCGATGGTAGAATAAGTGGTTGTTATGGTAAATGTTTGGTACTCAAACTGAAGTATTTACATGAATATACAATTAATAACATTTTCATAAGCAATCACACCAGATAATAGCAGAAAACGTCGGAATTGCGTTCCCTTTCAAAATGGCGCACAGCCTTGTTGTTAAGCGTGACATCATTAGAATATGACACTAATTATTATGCTTCTGATTCCCGCCCTTTTTTAAATGCATTACATTTTTCATGTTTTATGCTTTAAAAATGTAATAAATAGAAAATTTAATGGTGTCTTCAGTAATAACAAATATATTTCACTCGTGAAATACATTTATTATTACTGAAGACACCATTAAATATCCTCTTTTTTATTTTTTTCATTTTATTATAATAGAATCTGTTATTATTTTTGATGTGCAGCTTTATCAGTTTTGGTTGCAGGTAAGTTATTTCTCATTTTGTTCAGTTTAAAATTGGTGGAAATTGGAAGTTCAATGCATTACAAGGTAAACGTTTCATTGCAAACAGTACTAGTGTTTATCAATATAAGAATGTCCCCTTTGCTCTTCGGAAGTGGAAAAAAATCGCTGAGGAGATGTGGCCTCATTTACATACAACATTTTCGTACGTTTGTCAGACTACAAAAAACAACGGTTCGTGAATAAAATATATCAGGTTTTTTCAGGTATGGGTTCATTTTGAGCATAAAGTGCATAAGCAAAACTTCATATTTATGCATGTTTTTTAATCAGTGATTAATTCTTGCTTTCCGGACGAACATCCGGTAATTTTTGTGACAGTTTACAGACGATGGCTAAACGTCTAAAATATGCTTGTGTAGTGTCCAGCAGGTCACGAAGTAACGAGATATAGCGTGATAAAAAGGCTGCGCGGAAATATATAACACGCGGAAATCTACGACTTAGACGGTACTGTACAGGTCCAGTACACTCTGCCGATTAAGCTATATAGCTATAAAGACCTATATAGCTATATACACCTATAAATTATAGCTGTATTGAGCTATATTTTCTCAGATTTCAAATTTCATTAAATTAAAGCAAAGTCGCATAAAACAATAAGGTTTATGGTAATGTTGACTACAAAGAGTATACATTTAGATGTTTATTTCCATTTTTCATAAATGTAAAATTTCCGATTTCTTTATATCATTATTTTTTTAAAAGAATATCCTCGGGTTACCGGTTTTCGCGCACTTAAGAAGCATCCGCGATTTCGTACTCATATCGGAAGAAAACTGTTGAAATTACAGAAGACTGTCATAAACATGTATACAATCTACTAAAGGAAACCAAAAAATAGCAACATAAAACTGTATTTTAAAAGAATCAAAACAAACATTTTTTAGCAAATTTCTCCCGTCGGAAGTAGACGTCATATGTTTCCGTGTGTCTACTTTGATTTAGTGTTCAAAGAAAGATAACTCGAATACACTAAAAAGGATTCTCTACAGTGACCTGCAAGAACAAAAGCTTCGTTTGGAATAAAAAAAAAAATCTTTGATTGTCAAATTAATTATCAAAAAAAGTTTTTTTAAATTTCACATTTTGATTTTTTTTTTCAAGATGTCAAATTGAACGAAATCATGTATTTTTTAAAAATTATTTATTATATTTATTTAGTTATAATAAAGAATCTGTTATAAAAAAAAATCTGCAGTTTTATATCGGTTTTGGTTGATGGTAAGTTATTTCTCATTTTGTTCTGTTTAAAATTAGTGAAAATTGGAAGTTCATTGCATTACAAGGTTTACGTTTCATTAAAAACACTGTTTATCGATATAAGATGTCTCCTTGGCTCTTCGGAAGTGGAAAAAAGTCGGAGAGGAGATGTGGCCACATTTGCATACAACATTTTCTTACGTTTGACAGACTACAAAAAAGACCGGTTCATGAATGAAATATATCTTTTTTTTTTCAGGTATGGGCTCATTTTGAGCAAGATAAAAAGTGCATTAAGCAATACTGCATATTTATGCGTGGTTTTTTTAATCGGTGATTATTTCTTATGTTTTCCGGACGAACTTCCGGTAATTTTTGTGTCAGTTTACAGACGATGGCCAAACGTCTAAAATATCCTTGTGGTGTGTCCAGCAGGTCACGTAATTACGAGTTATAGCTTGATAAAATGGCTGCGCGTAAATACATAACGCGCGGAAACTGATGACTAGACGATACTGTAACATTTTCATTTTTGATTACTATCTCACAGCTATTTTTTATTCATAAAAGAAAATCTGCTGTTTTACAAATCTGCACGATTTAAAAAAAAATCTATACAGTTTTATATGCTGAACTGATTCAATTTCTAATTGAGGAAACAATACATTTTCTCTATTGCTAAAACTATACATAAAGCAGAGACATTTAAAGCATATAGTCAGTAAGTTGCTGAAACAAATGTATTCATCCACAATATATATATTTTATATAGATCTATTGACTCTCTGGGCTGCAATGATGGGTATTGGAAAATGACAAAAATTGTGGTATCGAATATTCTTCTTATTTTTAATAGAAACTTCATATAAATCCAGTTTTTATAGCACTGAACAAATTAATTTTTACACATAAAAAGCACAAAAAATTGTAAAATACTATGCATAAATTCTCTCTGGATACAATATTTATAAATCATTGAAGTTTAGTTTGAAGTAATCCAAAGGGCTTATTCGTAAAGATATATATATAATTATACATATATATATATGTATATCTTTTCGTGGATATCAGATAACTATGCTATTATACATGATTAACAATATCCATCCTAATATGTTTTATTTCAATGTCTTTGTAGAATATATGCTGCACTTGATTTTTGCAATGGATTCAAGAGGTGCAAATTTAAATGCTTATAAAGAGTCTAATGAACCTTTCGCATTCTCACATTAATGTCATGTCATCATACGCCTAGGCGGAAAACTTCAAGATATCAAACATCTTGTCAGCCAAAAAAAAATCAAGAAAGGAAACTTAACTGTAATATACACTGTATAGCTATACATGACGTAGGTCTGATTTAGTAATTCAACAATTCACTCAATGTTTGAAAGAGTATAGTACCGATATTCCGATACATTTACAGTACAACCTGGCTCCGCCCTCACTAACGGCCGTGCCGTAAAACATATTATATAGCGCAATCGGCAGATTGTACTGGACCTCCCGGACCTGCTGTACTGTACAGTAGTGTAACAAAATTCTCATGTTCCTGTGATAAACATTGAAAATGGAATTTTAAGAATGAATCGTCTTTCAATAAGTTATTCAAGCTCGGATGAAGTGTCAATGATAAAAGTTAGTATGGTGTCGATATAAATTGGCCATATAAATTACCAGTAGAGCGGCTGACTTTCCTTTCCCATCCTGCCGGCAAATCCGCCATCATGAATTTTAAACTAATCCGAATCGAATGAATGCTTGGACCTAGATTACACTAATATTAGTTGAACGGACTGATAATCCGTATTCGATCAATGTTCTCTATAAAATACATTTAAATTAGCATTTCATTTCAGCTTGCCAGTGTTACAACAACCGATGTTACACCGATCTCTTAAGATAGTTATGGTGTACAGTTAAACAGGCGCTAGTGTAAGAGTGACAGTTGATAATTGTTGATTTCGTTCTAAATACACATACTGTAATTAAAATTATATTTAATAAAAAAAAACATAATTAAAATGATATTTGATATCAGATATGTTTAGTTATGTTATTAGAGGGTGTCAGCCCACAAATTAGTTTGCTGAGAAAAAAATCATATTTTAAAAAGGCCAATAAATTGATTTTTCTTTAATCAACACACTAAAATCGTTAGTGTGTCGGAACGAACTTTTAACTTTAAAACTTGTCACCAACAAATATGCGCATACCATAAAGTATCGATGACAACAAGATATAGGACGGTCTCACAAGTCGAAGACTTACAACGACTGGAAGAACAGTGCGAACAGTACGAATAGAATCAATAAAAGCGCTTATTGGATATAATAACATTACAATGTTCAGTATAATTTAGACTGAAATTGATCAATTTTCATCATACAGTAATCATTTAATCTTACGCAATACTATTTGAATGATTTGATGTTAAACATACATTATTTATGTGATGAACTTATACTCATCAATGCAATGTTTAACTGTAATGCAGATATTACAGTGTATATGCTCAATGTCGAGTGTCATTTAATATAAGATCATTCAAAATGTATGTGTAAGACATTGTGTTATGCTGTATCATCATACATTGCAATATTTGAAAAAATTGTTTGTAATGTTTTTTCTCCGATGGCTTGTAAAACACAAGTAAATAAAGATTCTGAATCTGATAATTTTACGCACCACGCGTCCGTCTTTTTTGTAACCCCTTCTAATTGAGTTACTCCGAGGTAGATCTACTCTTTTAAAACAACAATCAATCTAGCTTTCTTTCCATGCCTAAGTTATATCTGTTATTTTTTAATGTGTTCATTTGTTGGTGTTTTAATTTCCAAATTAAAAAGAATATCTTGAACTAAACATGTCTAACGCCAGACCAGCGTACTAAACATTAGAGATACCGTACGTAGGCTCCCAGAATATCTTCTCTTGAGAGCAGGTTTTGTTTGTTACGTCATTTGTTTGTGAGAGTAACGTCATCATTTTTTGAGAAAACGACGTAATTTTCTCACACAAACCAATGACGTAACAATCAATACCTGCTCTCGAGAGAAGATAACTCTGCAATACGCAAAGACGGAATACATAGACACGGTTATAATTGTTTATCTATTCATGAACATACTTTTTTCTAAAAGTAGATGGATGTTTATTATCATAATTTTCAGTTATTGTTCGCCAATACATAACAGAGTACGTATAGATTACCAGTTAGAGGCCTATATATACAAGTAGGGCCGTATCTTCCGTTACTGAATTTATAGCCGGAATCATCAAAAATTATAATCGGGTTTCGACAAAAAATCATTAAGTTACATTCCGAAATACAACAAGAGCATGAGAAAAATAATGAAACTGCAGCATATAACCACCGTCTTAGAAAACAATCCAATTCAGTGGTAAAAAAAAAAGAGGACACTATTGGTAACAATCGCAAATATGTAGATGGTAGAGTTCTTTAAGTCAAAAATTATTGGTTAAAATAGAAAAAAAAAATGATAAATGCATTGCAGGCTTGGTACATGGATATTTTAGGAAAAACGGATAAATGGATGATAAATGTGCAAGAAGATATATAAGATTTGGGTTTAGAGTATATAATTAGGAATCGTTACAGTATCGACTGATTTTTACTAGATAGTAAATGGTTGATGTCTTTATCACGTGAACAATAAGAGTTTTTACGAAAGAAACCTCTATCAGCATTGATATATCTATCTAAAGAATAAACATTACAGCAGTACTTTCAAAAACTCGTTATGAATCAAATTTGATGGAAATTGCAGAAATTCAACTGTCATAATATCATCTTAAATCTTGAATATAGTCAGAGATTGCGTACGTACTTTGTGTATAAGAAAATAGAAGATGAATCTCACTTTGAACATGCATCACAATGTCATTTCTGCAAATTTGTTGAAGAAATAACGTAAAATTAGATATGACAGGGCGATTTTAATAAAAACGGGCCAAACTTGCCCCGGTGTCTCCTAATGACATTCAACTATCAGAGTAAACTTTCGAAGTACAGACTGAGATTAGGTCAGCGGTCGCGCTATAAGATAAATAAACCCTAAGCAAAGGGAATGGAAATTGCTTTTAAACAACAGAGTGTACTGTGGAATAATATTAAGATATGATAAACTAGTTTTAATGTGATTTCTCATCATTTTTTTTTACACAAAGGCACATAACATTAGCTATTTAGTAACTTGTGATTTATCAAGATAAGGGGACAAGTAACACAATCTTAGTGTCGGGTAAGACACTGTGACGTTCACGTGTGCTCATGGAAACATGAAAACATATATATTCTTGTCTTTCCTGCAAACGATTGTCGGAAGTATGGATCCTTCTCCGTTTCCCGTTTCGGTTATTATTTTGAGTTTCAAGAAAGTTTTCTTAATAAATATGTATTATTGGTTTTAAATGTTTATTTAATTAATTTCATATAAATTTTAATTTAGCAATGTTTACTGTAAAATATAAAAGCGATTCAAAGTAAATCTCGTCGAGAAAATGAGTTTATATTATCCGAAAATTGTACTTCCGGTTCGATCTGGGTCAGAGGGCGTTTGATAGTTTTTCCAGTCGTCGTTCTGTCAAAATCTGTCAGGCGTTGATGGATAGAGGCTACTCAAAAGGTGTCCGATCACATTCGTAAAATTCTTGGACTGTTATGGGGTAGCGGATATACTCTACTTTTAATCTAGCCGAATACTGTGATGAACACAGGTAAGTGTGAATTATCATGATCATAGTGTTTGTTGTGTATGTCTATGACAGGTCCTTTCAGATCAGAAAGCAATATTCTTTATTCGCATTCTACTGTTCTCTTCAATTTGATACGTGCATGGCAGGTTGACATGTAAGTTTGTATTGTTTTATCTTTGAATTGATCAGCGATCAATAACAAAGGGTACGTGGACTTCTACTGCAGATACAGAACAAAAACTGTAGAATGATGTAGAACGTTTACACTGCAACTTATTTTTGTTTACAAAACGTGTGCAATACTGTTCTTTCCACACCACGATGTAAATGATTTTATTATGTCTTACACCTTCCAGATACCTTCTCTGGCTGTACAATGTACACCGGAATGCTGTTGTTGGGTTGACTAATGACACGATAGGGTATCTCCTCCCTCTTATCACAACATCTAGGACTTATATCATACAAGCAAGTTGTTAAAGTTTATAGATCCTTGTTCTGTGTAAATTGTATAAAGAATTTCCAATAACATCACACCTCCACGATACCTTAGACTTTAAAATATAAAATGTACTGATCCTAGTCTTTAAACAAGCTCAAACATGATACATTTATACAATTTATTTGTTGATGGAAAGGAACTCTAATGTTTTTTATGTATACTGTACATTTATTTTTTTGGGGAGGTTTCAGAGTGAAATAAGTGGTGCAATAATTATACAAGGTAACTGTATATTTTTGGTTACAAAACCTAACAATAACAGAAACATTCTAAATTGCAATTAATATAAAGGATGGCATCAATGGTAAGACTGGAGTTGTAGACATACAGTGTATGAAGATGATCGCAATACCACTTCCTGGACACATGTCCTGAGGCATTGCACAGTCATGATATCAGTTGGCAGTTTACATTGGTAAGTGTTTGGTTTGGGGCCACACAACCTTACCTGTACTGAATAGTCTTATATAAACACTAGTGTTAGTCAGTGTACTTGTCTGATGCATCAGTAAGTAAACTTTCCAAGATGGTGATGATTATACATGATCATGATGACACCTCTATTCAATTACATAATACCTTAAGCAATATATTATCCTAATGGTTATATTGAGTAAATGGTTTGTACATATACAGCACATGAAAGTATAGATTTTTGTGCATTTTTATACAAATTGAAGAAAAACCAGAAGAGTACAATGTACCTTGAACTCCATCATGCTAGGCCAAAACAGTGTATCATGAAATATTTTTCTATTTGTGATGTTCACTTTATATATTTATGTTGTTTGAAATAGAGTATATATATATATATATATATGTTATAAAAATGTGTTGGATAAAAATATAAATCCTCCAAGTCAAACTTGGGAACTACCCACTGATGTTCTCTCACACATGTACACCTTAGCAGGGAAATACTGACTGCTGTTCTCACTCACACCTTAATTAGCAGGGAACTATCCACTACTGTACTCACACACACCTTAGCAGGGAACTACCCACTACTGTTCTCCCTCGCACCATAGCAGGGAACTACCCAATGCTGTTCTCTCACACACTTTAGCAGGGAACTATACCCACTACTGTTCTCTCACACACTTTAACAGTGAACTACCCACTGCTGTTCTCTCACACACCTTAGCAGGGAACTAACCACTGCTGCTCTCTCACACACCTCAGCAGGGAACTACACACTGTTGTTCTCATACACACTTCAACAGTGAACTACCCACTGCTGTTCTCTCACACACCTTATAGCAGGGAACTATACCCACTGCTGTTCTCACTCTCACCTTAGCAGGAACTACCCACTGCTGTTCTCTCACACACCTTAACAGGGAACTACCCCCTGTTGTTCTCTCACACACTCTAACAGGGAACTAACCACTGCTGTGTTCTCATACACACTTTAACAGTGAACTACCCACTGCTTTTCTCTCACACACCTTAGCAGGGAACTATACCCACTACTGTTCTCTCACACACCTCAGCAGGGAACTATACCCACTACTGTTCTCTCACACACCTTAGCAGG